AAGGTCTGGGTGTTCCCACACATAGCCACTCAGGCCACAGAGCTCTCTCTCTTCAGCCACCACCCACTTGAGTCATTGCCAGCAGGTGCTTGTCATTTTCCTGCCTTTGGGTCCAGACTGGATGAGATCCGCAGGCGCAGGACAGAGGCTCCCTGTCCCAGTTCTGCGCTTGGTCCTGAGCCATGTGACCTTTGGCAAGCTACTGAACTTCTCCAAGCTTGCTTTCTTGTCTGCAAAATGAGGATAATGGTAACAGCATGAACACTTGCCGGGCTGTGAGGAAGCCCCTAGGCACAGGGGGAGTGCTCTGTAAATGGTAGCTGTTATCCTTGCCTGCCATGATTACATGGCTGTAGCATCCGGGGAGCTCCATAGCTGGGAGAAAGCAAGCCCAGGACGGTGCTGGTAATGTCAGCACTGCCACAGCCCCGGGTCCCACAGCTCCGCTCTCTGCTTCTGGACGTCTTACAAATGCAGCCTCACTTGTTGGCTTGAAGGAATGAATGAACATGCTGACCCCTATGTCTCTTTGTGGAAACTCCGTATCACATAGCCCTGAAGATGTATACATTGTAGCTGGACTATAGGTGAGCACCACTATGCCTGGCTAATCTGCTTAATTTTTTTTTTTTTTTTTGAGACAGTCCCACTATGTTGCCCAGGCTGATCTTTATTTTTATTTCTCCGCAACTGTGCGGAATCTCACACTATTGCCCAGGCTGGAGTACAATGGCACAATCTTGGCTCACTGTAACCTCCATCTCCTGGAGGTGCCTGCCTCAGCCTCCCGAGTAGCTGGAAATACAGGCACACACCACCACATCCAGGTAATTTTTTGTATTTTTAGTAGAGATGGGGTTTCACTATGGTGGCTAGACTGGTCTCGAACTCCTGGCCTTGTGATCCACCCACCTCAGCCTGCCAAAGAGCTGGGATTACAGACATGAGCCACCATGTCCAGCCAAGAAAATGGATGTATATAGAAAAAAAACATACCCACGAAGCATAAAGATTAAAACATACCATGCTTAGCCGGGCGCGGTGGCTCAAGCCTGTAATCCCAGCACTTTGGGAGGCCGAGGCGGGTGGATCACGAGGTCAAAAGATCGAGACCATCCTGGTCAACATGGTGAAACCCCATCTCTACTAAAAAAAAAAAATACAAAAAAAAATTAGCTGGGCATGGTGGTGTGTGCCTGTAATCCCAGCTACTCAGGAGGCTGAGGCAGGAGAATTGCCTGAACCCAGGAGGCGGAGGTTGCGGTGAGCCGAGATCGTGCCATTGCACTCCAGCCTGGGTAACAAGAGTGAAACTCCGTCTCAAAAATAAATAAATAAATAAATAAAAATAAAAAATAAAACATACCATGCTTGAGCAGTTCAGAATCAAGTCTATGTCTTTAAGATGACCTTAGAAAAGATGAAGCATGACCAGATCAGGAGGATAATGGTAACAGCATGAACACTTGCTTGTAATCCAAGCACTTTGGTAGGCCGAGGTGGGCAGATCACCTGAGGTCAGGAGTTTGAGACCAGCCTGGCCAACTTGGAGAAACCCTGTCTCTACTATAAATACAAAAATTAGCCAGGCATGGTGGCACACACCTGTAGTCCCAGCTATTCAGGAGGCTGAGGCAGGAGAATCACTTGAACCCGGGAGGCAGAGGTTGCAGTGAGACGAGATTGTGTTACTGCACTCCAGCCTGAGTGACAGAGTGACACTCCATCTCAAAAAAAATGAAAGAAAGAAAAAGAAAAAGGAAAAAAAAAAAAGCACATCTGAGCTTCTGAGAACCACGGTAAACACCATGCAATAGTCACTGCATTATGGCCCGCGAACTGGCAACAGCTCTGCCTGCCTCACATGTCAAAGCGGCCTAATTATTTTTGGTGTCGACTAGAACAATCAAGTTGGTTTCACAAGTCATCATATTGTTTAAAGGTGTCCTGTTCGGGACATGGGAAACAGCATGTTCTGGACATAAGCATGTATGAAGAAACTGTCGAGTGTGGTTGAACGAGGAACGGGGCATCAGGCGCTCAAACGGCCGCCATTCCCGGGCAGTGCCTTGCTCATGCCCACGTTCTCAGTTCCAGCACGCCTTGTGCGCACACACGTTTAAATACCACCAGGAGTTCAATTCCTTAATGTTCCCATTTCACATGACTTAGTGTTGTGCAGCACCCAGTTACACTTGACAGGGAAGGTAGTGCCTCTCCTCATCCTGGAGTAGCAATTTAACTTCTACACCCAGCAGTCCAGATTCTGAAACTTTTAGGATTAAAAGAAAGGCACATGCAGTGAGAGCTCCGGATTCCACACGCACGGGTGCGCGGGGCTCGGGATCCCACACCCACGGGTGCGCGAGGCTCGGGATTCCACACGGACGGGTGCGCGGGGCTCCGGATTCCACACCCACGGGTGCGCGGGGCTCGGGATTCCACACGGACGGGTGCGCGGGGCTCGGGATTCCACACGGACGGGTGCGCGGGGCTCCGGATTCCACACCCACGGGTGCGCGGGGCTCGGGATTCCACACGGACGGGTGCGCGGGGCTCGGGATTCCACACGGACGGGTGCGCGGGGCTCGGGATTCCACACGGACGGGTGCGCGGGGCTCGGGATCCCACACCCACGGGTGCGCGAGGCTCGGGATTCCACACGGACGGGTGCGCGGGGCTCGGGATTCCACACGGACGGGTGCGCGGGGCTCGGGATTCCACACGGACGGGTGCGCGGGGCTCGGGATTCCACACGGACGGGTGCGCGGGGCTCGGGATTCCACACGGACGGGTGCGCGGGGCTCCGGATTCCACACCCACGGGTGCGCGGGGCTCGGGATCCCACACCCACGGGTGCGCGGGGCTCGAGATTCCACACGGACGGGTGCGCGGGGCTCAGGATTCCACACGGACGGGTGCGCGGGGCTCGGGATCCCACACCCACGGGTGCGCGGGGCTCAGGATTCCACACGGACGGGTGCGCGGGGCTCGGGATCCCACACGGACGGGTGCGCGGGGCTCGGGATCCCACACCCACGGGTGCGCGGGGCTCAGGATTCCACACGGACGGGTGCGCGGGGCTCGGGATTCCACACCCACGGGTGCGCGGCATGCACAAGGTTCCTGCCTGCAAAGCTTCCCCCCACCCTGGTTCTGCGGCGGAGAGGTCCCAGGCGGAACCTGCCGTAAGGCTGTCGCATGGCACTATTTGGTAGCAGAAGCTTGGTTTCGGGGACCCATCTCACGAGCAAGGCCGAGAGTCCCCGGGCCTGCCTGGGAGCGAGGCTCAAGCCCCAGCCCCCACGAGCGGGTCCTCCCCTCCGGCGCAGGCGTCCCGGGTGTCTACACGCCGCTCTTCCAGAGCCCAGCTGTATTCGACGTTGACGGCCAGATGCGGCCCAACCCTAAGGGCGGAATCCTCAGGAGCAGCCCGGGGCCTTTCAGCCCAGGCTTCGTGCTGGCAGGTGGAGGGTGCAGTGAGCCGAGATCGCACGGCGGCACTCCAGCCTGGGCGACAGAGCGAGGCGCCGTCTAAAATAAAATAATAATAATAATAATAATAATAATAATAACGTACCTCCCCCGCCCCACCCCCCCAAAAAAAGGTGCTGTTTTTCCAGTTGTGATGCCTGGGACTGTGGCCACAACATTAAGGTCAGGGGAGGCAGCAGGTAGAGGAAAAGAATGAGGAGGAAGGACGGCCGCGATGCCATTGTTGTCACTAAATTAGCAAGCCTGGGACTTCCTACCAAAGGACTTCTTGTTCTGCAAGGTGGTGTATTTTCTTCTTGTTTAAACCACTAGGTTTGGGAAGGGGGACTTCTGTTGCTTGTGGTCCCAAGTAATTGGATAGACTCCCTTTCCTCTGAAGTAACAGAACCTATTTTACAAGCTGGAGTACACACATGCATGTGTACACGTTCCTTGTCCTCCCCCACTTTTTAGATGAAGCTGACTCGGGTGAGCGCTAACGTGGGCTCCTCCATCCGCCAGACCCCAGCTCCTTGCAACAGTGTGTGTGCTCTGTGATCCCCAAGCACCCACCCCACACCCAGCACTGTCAGTCATTTCAAGGCCCAGTTCAAAATCCACTTCCCACATGAAGTTTCCTATTTAACCCCCACCTGCTTCTTTCCAGAATTCTAACATGGAGCAAGCATCCCCTGCAACTTCATGCATCTTGTCTGCTGATCCTGTCCCCTCTGCGTGCCCACCCACCCCAGCCACACCGCTGACACACAGCGGCTGACGCAGGGGACGACAGTGCGAGGCGCTCCTGCCCTGCGCCTGAAACCCGGACTTTCCCTTTCCTTTTTCTTCCTCATCTTCCTTCCCCATCTTCTCTGTAGGAGAGATGACAGAAATTGAGATAAAAGAAATTCCCGCCAGCGGAGGCAGCTCATGTCTGTAATCCTAGCACTTTGGGAGGCCGAGGTGGGTGGATCGCTTGAGGCTGGGAGTTTGAGCCCAGCTTGGCCAACATGGTGAAACCTCGTCTCTACTAAAAATAGAAAAATGAGCTGGTTGTAGTGGCACATGCCTGTAATCCCAGCTACTCAGGAGGCGGAGGCAGGAGAATCTCTTGAACCTGGGAGGCCGAGGCTGCAGTGCAGTGAGTTGAGATCATACCACTGCACTCCAGCCTTGGATGAGAAACTGACAGTCTTAAAAAAAAAAATAAATAAAGAAATTCAGAGCTCCATCTCTGAAGGAAGAATAAATACTTTTAAAGAAAGCCAACAATGACATGCCCTCCTGGCTGGGAATGGCCAATAAGGGACAGAATTCCAACGGAACAGGGGGAACTGGTGGCTGGATGTGCCACAAACCGCTCCCGTTTTTCTCTCTCTCACCACACACTGACCAGATACGCTCTTGAAACTGGGGGGTGAGGTGGGGACATCCTTAAAGCAGAGGTCACAGTAGGAAATACAGCAGAGTCCAGCATGCCGCAGACAGTCAAGACATGTCGGAGAGTGAGAGGGGACAGAGCATCCTGTGCTGAGGGCTTTGGGCTTCTTCCCTGAAGCTTTTCATTAGAAAAACAAGACAGAACGTAGATCGCATCGCAGTCTTGATTGTAATGAACCTCAGCTGAATGTGCTGACAGCAGGCTATCTGATCTACTGTGGACTTTGAGGCATTTTGAAATAAAAAATAAAATCCAGGGAGTTTTTTTGTTTTTAAAATTCCTGTGGTTGTTTGCTAAACCGCAAAATAGGGCGCCACCAGCCAGACACTCCAGACCACCTACAGAAAGAAAGTCTCAGGTATCACGAAGGCGAACCGCTAACAGTCGCTCTTTCCTTCTGGGTGCACAACTCTGCGGCCATCCCGGCCATGAGACGGCAGGAGGATCAGCAGCCCGTGTGGAAACTGACTTGAGTCCCTGAAGGTATGCAATGCGATCCCAACAGGCTCTTGACTCATTCCAGATATTAAAAACAGGTCATCACTTTCATGAGGCAATATTAAACCAACACTAAGAACTTCTGCAAGACCTTTTATATTACACAATACAGTTAAAAACTGTAGTAAATGTTCAGATATTTAAATGAGCACCAAACACTACAAAATGCAACCAACATGGTTCTATTAAAAACTCTCTTTGACTGTGGCATTCAAGGACAGAATACAATCTTTTTTTTTTTTTTTTTTTTTTTTTTTTTTTTTTTTACAAAGCAACTAATATAAAAATCTGCAAATGCCATAAATTCGTATCTAGACTATTCTTCTCATATAGGCATGTCATTAGATAGACTTTCTTTCGATTATTTCCTGAGGTATTTTTTGTGGTTTCCTTTTATTGTACTGCTGGATGCATTATTTTTGATCATTCTTTCCTAAAATGATTTAAAGACCTGCAAATAATTTTATTGCATAGGACGCTATTCAAGACAGAGAAAATGGGAACTGCACGTATGTGGCCTGGAACAAGTCTTACAAATATTGCATTCTAAGAATCTGCTACATACATTTTTTACAGTTTGTCTCTTTTAAAAAATTTGAAGTTAGAGCTATGACTTAACTACGTACAGTGAACCATTTTAGGAATGTTAAGAGATTCGAGAAGATGAATGATACAAAGAAAAAAAAGCCACCATTCTTGCCAGCTATATATTGTATTCCTTCAAAAGCAACTGTACATGCTGTCCTCAGTTCATAGTTAAATATTTCTACTAATCTGTTTTGGGAGAACAAATGTCTTTCAAGGTTTCAAGTTCCTCTATAAGCTTCTTGTTCTGGACTTCCAGCACTGCGACTCGGCTCTCCAGACATTTTACGTATTCTTTCTTTCGGCGTCGACATTCTTTGGCAGCTTCCCTGAAAAAAGCAGAAGCAAAGGGCAAACAAAGCATTTTTTGCATGCTACTGACAAACAGATCAAAGTAAGCTCGGTAGGCAAGGGTGATCACGGCTGCATTCCACATCGGGGAACAACATTTGCAATTCAATTTCAAACACTAATCCAAACTGGATTCACAAGTGTCCTTTCCACACGTCCACAGTGCAGTAATTAGAACTGCTGCATGTCCTGCCTTGATTAGAGTTCACAGTAAACAAGGTCCAAGTCAAAGACAGTTACTCTGCTTTATGGCAATAAAGATCTTTGAGGGCCTTGAGTTCCTCAATGAGAGTCTTGTTTTGGTTTTCAAGCACAGCCACACGATTTTCAAGACATTTGACATATTCTTTCTTCTTCCTGCGACACTCCCGGGCAGCTTCCCTGGAACCAACACAAGGCAAATGACTACAGGAACAGCCTTCCAACACAGTCCACAGTGGCTCAGTGCACTTCTGTCCCCCGAACTCAACAGCCATCCGATCCTAGGCAAGGACTGGACAAACCCACGTAACAAACATCACCAGGCACGTGCTTTTTGTAAGATAACCGTAAGCCAACAAGAATGACTTGAGAACACAGTTTGCCCAGCGTGCGTCACAAATGGTGTTTTCTTAGGGCACACATTCCACTGGTAACAACAAGCAGAACTGTTTTCAGTAAACTACAATGGGACCACATCCCCGAGTGGGATTTCTACAAACACACTTACAGACCCTTTCAATGATCTTATTTTTGTCTGCCAAAAGGCACATATTCCAACATAATGAGTTAATTTTATTTGATCAAAAATGATTATAAGAATCCTTAAAAACCTTAAATGTCAACACTGGAGATTCTTAGTCTTCAGACCAATCTCAGTAAAACAAGATCAATTGTGACTCCAAGATCCAGTTTTTGGGCTAGAAAATACAACATGGATAAATCGTAATAATGAAAAAAAGATGTGCATTTTTATAAACCAAAACGAATGGACGGTGCTTCTGAAAATTCAAGAACAAGGCGGCTACACAGACAACACTCAAATAACCCAGGCAATTTAAACCCACACACGTGAGACCACCACAATCATAATCATAATAAAGAAGCTACTGAGTTACTCTGGGGCACATTTCAAGACTGTTTTCCAATCACATGCATTTAATATCCAATATATTGAATTTTAAAGCACTATAAGCCCAAACTGAAAGAACAGACCAGTCGCCAAAGCAACAACACAAATAGATGAGTTGAGTTCGTCATTTTCATGCGTGACCCCACAAAACAATAAAGATAGCCAACATTTCTCTTTGTCTTTCTTTCAGGGTGGGAGGGATGGGAACTACTTCCCTTAACTCCTCTATAGAAGACACCCTTTGGCCTCATTTTGGAGGATTCAGTTCCAGAATAACTGCCTTTGAAGTAGATCGCCCTTCATATCAAAAAAGCCTACACTGAAACAGATACCATCATTCACATGTTAACAAGAGCAGTGCTGAATGTCTGAACACCAGGTTCTGTAATGCCAATTAGCTTCCTGATCCACATGTGATATAGACATGATTTTTTTTTAAGATAACTGACTCCCACTGACTGGGTATCTGTGTTTTCACTGTGGAAGCATGAGTCAGCAAAGAAGAACCTTGAAATCCAAACGAACTGCAGGAAAAGATCAACACTTGCTTCCTCGCCAGGAACAATGGACTCACCCTGTGAACTCACAAAGTTCTCAGACTTCTCAGCTGGTTAACAAAAAAATTAAAAATATAGAATTGAATGTTATAGTGACTAATTTAATTTCAATGATGCACATGGAAAGGTTAAGAATAAATCCACACACACATTTGCCACTTTGGAAACATAACTCTTTTCCACAAAGAAACTGAAATTCATTTATGAATACCAAGGTTTTCATGGTTAAACTATATTAAATTCTAGACCTAGAAGGAAGATAGTCACTTTACAAAACAGGTTACCATTAAATGAAAAACTTAAAGACCTAATAGCAGCGCTGTGGGTGTTTAATCTTTAAAATTTTATTTACCAAGTTATAAATATCCATACTTCATATTCCACATTTGAGTGTGTGTGTGTGTGTGTGTGCGCGCGTGTGTGCGCGTACATTATGAGAGTCAAAATGTCCCAGGCACAAAGCTTTTCATAATCATATCAGTAGACGGTACGTTCCTAAGTACTCCTCAGCCATGGAAAACACCTGTTTCTTCTATTAATAGCGAGCTCAGTTCAGGCTTGCATGTTTCTGGGTATATCCTTAGCATAGACAGGAAATGCAAGGCAAGGAGGAAACTCACAAGGATGGAAAGAAATAAAAACTGTTGCTAGATTGGCAGAAATACAATATAATGAAAGATGGATTATAGATGCCAACCAAAGAATAAAAAGAGAATATGTAAGAGATCTTTCTGTGAATTACTAAAGCCTACATACTTTCCCATGAAGTGAAATCTGCAGGTTATGACGGGGTATTTTCGAGGTGCCAGATGCTGGTATAGAGGACAGTTTCTGAAATAAAGACTGCCTAGTTGCCCATCCTGGTTCTGCCCAGTTTGGGCCACTGTGATCTTGACCAACTTATTCCTTAACCTCTCTGAACCTCTGGTCCTCCTGAGTAAACTGGGGATAATAATGACCTATTCTCAAGTAAGCATTGAAGACACAGTAGAAATAAAGCATTTAAAACCTGCTAAACAGATCATGAGCAACCTAACAGCCACGTATCATCTGCTTTTCTCTTGTCCTGCTCTGAAACAGATTCAGAAAGTGAAAATAAGCCTTTCTCGGAATCCTTTACAGCTAGGGACTAAAGACCTATTTCCAACCAATGACGTGTAGGTGAAAGTTGCCGGGTCTTCCAGGAAAGGTTTGCAGTTGGGCTAGACCCCAACCAGCACCAGGTTTTGGCTCTAGCTCTTCCTCCTTCTTCCTGTCTGAGGCAATGCCTGGAGGTTCAGCCGCCGGGCTGTGATCATAAGAATGAATGGCACATGCTGAAATGATGCAGCAGGGAGCGGGGGCCCTCGATGACACTTCCGAGCTGCCGTCCTGGCCACACACAGTGAGGACATTATTTGACACTTAGGGATAAGGTGACAAGACTACTGGGAAACTCCAAGACAATTGTATTCCTTTTGAAAAGATTAATTGGCACCATAATCCATGATAAAAAACTAAACCAAGAAAAAATAATATACAAGTTAGATAAAATAAAATTGTATTTCTGTTTAAATTTTTTTTTCAGTTTGGAAAATCGCATTTTCTACTATGTTGTTTAAAAAATAAAATTACAGAGATACGGAGCAAGAAGAAGTGAGAGAAAACTAGAGCAGACCAAAGTACTTGTAACAGGAGGCGTCACTACGCGGTTAGAGCCGTGGTGACTGTGATTCTTTTTGTTATGTTGTATTTGCACTTGACTAGAATTTATCAGATTAAATATGTATTGCAGTGTAATAGAGGGAAAAAGGTACAAAATAGATCAAAGGAAACTACATGTAGAAAATGTAGAAAACAAATGCTTAACTTACACGTAAGTTCATTTTGCTCATACAGAACCTAAAAAATCCTATTCATCACCTACTTCACAAAGTAAATACAAAATAGCCCTTTATAATGAAGTCCTTTCATCATTAATTTTAAAACTTTCAGGCCGGGCACGGTGGCTCAAGCCTGTAATCCCAGCACTTTGGGAGGCCGAGGCGGGTGGATCACGAGGTCAAGAGATCGAGACCATCCTGGTCAACATGGTGAAACCCCGTCTCTACTAAAAACACAGAAAATTAGCTGGGCATGGTGGCGTGTGCCTGTATTGCCAGCTACTCAGGAGGCTGAGGCAGGAGAATTGCCTGAACCCAGGAGGCGGAGGTTGCGGTGAGCCGAGATCGCGCCATTGCACGCCAGCCTGGGTAACAAGAGCGAAACTCCGTCTCAAAAAAAAAAAAAAAAAAACTTTCTTTATCTTTTGACTATTACCCTTACAACATAGGGATGTAACTTCTGCTGATGAAATTGTTGAATGGCCAGGAACTCTGACTAGAAGACGATCTAATAACACACATACAGAGCACAAACCTACATGAAATGCCACGTTAGGTGAGAAACAAAGGAGAAACACTTTTTATGAACATTTAGTTTATGAAAACTATCATTTTTAGAAAGCGTCCTAGAAGTGACCGATGGCCTGTGAAACGCCTCACCTGTTCTTCATCAGCCTCAGCTCTCGCTTGCGTGTTGCTTCTTCCTGCCAGCTGCTGGGGACTGTGCAAACTTCCGGGCGACGCGGCCATCACCACTCCCTGTGGCAAACCAGTAGCAGGAGCTCGGATCTGGTAAGTTGGCATGTCACCAGTGGCGGCTGCAGTAAAACAAAATATTTCAAGCTTACATAAAGAATTCATAATTTGCCATCTTACATAAAACTGACCTGGAAATGGTATACTTTTGACATGCCATAAGAGGTAATCTTGTAATGTTTATGATAATTATTCTGAGCATTATAGCAATCTAAGTATTAAAGATGCTCCTCAGCTCTTAGAACAAGGTATTCAGCATGCTCTAAACATTTAAGGTAGAAAAGTGTCCTAATGCATTTTAGACAGGTTTTTATCAAAGGCAAAAGCTCACTGCCTTTTCCATAGATGGCTCATTTAACCTAAAATCAGTGGTGTGCTGATAAATATCTACAGTCCTCAGGGAAAAACAATTAAAAAGCCCTGATGTGTAGTGTTTGATAATTCTCATGATGTAAATACTTCCACTATGGTCAGTTTCAAGCTACCAACGTGACTTCACTGAGCACAGAGTTGGAAACAGACACGTAGCATACAGATAAAACAGATGCCAGTACCCACAGAGCACAGAATACTTGGACATTCTGAGTTTTGAGTATGAATGTTTTTAATGTGTAAATACATTGTATATGTATGTGTATATATGCATGTGTATATACATAGATGCATGTATACATATATATACACACACAATTTTTAATAATAGCTCTTTTACAACCAGCTCACAAAGACACTGAATTTCTTTTTTTTTTTTTAGGTAGAATCTCACTCAGTAGGCCCAGGCTGGAGTGCAGTGCTGCAATCTCGGCTCACTGTAACTTCCGCCTCCCCAGTTCAAGCGATTCTTGTACCTCAGCCTCCCAAGTAGCTGGGATTACGGGCATGCACCACCATGCCAGGCTAATTTTACATTTTTAGTAGACATGGGGTTTCACTATGGTGGCCAGGCTGGTCTCGAACTCCTGACCTCAAGTAATCCACCTGCCTCAGCCTCCCGAAGTGTTGGGATTACAGGCATGAGCCACCGTGCCCAGCCTCAAAATTTAATAGGCTCTAGCAAGCCAGCAGGAGCTGACTGCAGCACACCACTGCAGAAATTTCCAGTAAGCAGAATAGCTCCATCCTCAAAATGTTTCAGTTTAGAGATTTTCCTATACCCCATATCATACCTGAAACAGTCACTGAATGTCTTTAAGTGCAATTCTCGTTACTAGAGAATGACTGAGGCACTGGAAGGAATTGAGCTCACTGCAGTTTCAGTAAAGAAAGAAACAAAAACAGTAACAACCACCACCCAGCAAAGCTCTGCTTAAACCTAGTTTCTCTGGGGAAAGAGAATTTTTTGTCTTTCTTAAGTTTCCTGGCAAAATAATACTTTTGTAAATATTCATTTAAAAATATTGTCTAAGTATAGTATTACCAGACAGTGAAAAGACAGCATTTAATATTTACTTAGTCTTCAGGTCAAATGCTAAAAGTAAGTTCTCAAAGTCTCCTAATTTATATTCAAAATTTGCCTATCTACAGCAAGAAACATAGCTTCCTAGAAAAGACAGATGGATTTGAGTGATAAAACGTTTCTCCCACCAGCGCTTCCACATTGAGAACGTATGGTCTAGAGTTAGTTTGTCACTCTGATGAGACATTACAAAATACATACTCTCTCAAAGCTAAGTGCAAGAAAAAGATTTCTTAGAGTTATCAAATCCTATAAAAATTGTCTGAACTAAACTCCAATCAAAAGAGGAAAATACAGCACTTCTGTATTTCACGAAAATGTATCATACCCATTGAATAAGATGTGAAATTTTACCCATGGAGACAAAAACTTTGTTAGCTAAATAGGATATTATCACTGAAAATGGCCAAGCAGTTTTAAAAAGTTAAACAAAGATTAACTGATCTATGTGCTTCTATTTGGGTATATGCCAGGTTTTTCCCTCCTAAGGCTTGAGAATTAGGTGAAAGAATACAACAAAAACATGGCTTTTGCCAGGTGCGGTGGCTCACGCCTGTAATCCCAGCACTTCAGGAGGCCGAGTTGGGCAGATCACCTGAGGTCGGGAGTTTGAGATCAGCCTGACCAACACAGAGAAACCCCATCTCTACTAAAAATACAAAATTAGCCAGGCATGGTGGTGCATGCCTGTAGTCCTAGCTACTCAGGAGGCTGAGGCAGGAGAACTGCTTGATCCCGGGAGGCAGAGGTTGTGGTGAGCCAAGATCGTGCCACTGCACTCCAGCCTGGGCAACAAGAGTGACTCTGTCTCAAGACAAAACAAAACAAAACAAAAAACACGGCTTTCAAAGAAGCTCACTTAAAGATTTTTGAAGAATAAAAATATTTATAAGGTTGTACTGTCTTTTCCTTCTACATGTAATTTTAAAACATTGCTGATAGGTGATCATTGTGATTAGTAATCAGCACATGAACAAACTTGGGAAAAGTCCTATTTTTGTGACTATTCAAAATAACGTTTACACAGACAACTCAATATGAGTCGTACAAAACTGTGTGGCTTTGAGATAGCTAAGGAGGTCATGTTAAGCCTGTTATAAACTAACTCAATCGACTGTTTAAAATATCTTCTTCATCATATTGTCGGAGGAGATGGAGTGGAGCAGAGAATAACATAGCTCTCCTCTCTTTTCTCCTCACCCACATCCAGGGAAGAAGGTTGTGGTATAAGAAAGGCTGAAACAATGGAACAGCTGGAGGCACCTAGGCCTTCTAAAATTGTAACAATAGCCAGTGACAGATGAGAAGTTTACATGACACGGGGTTGACACGTGCAGGCAGCATGAATGCTAGGATTATTCTTTCCAAACACTGCCCACACAGATGTGCAATAAAAGTAATAGGTAGAGAGGGGCTCATTATAGTCTAGTTCTGCAGACATTTGCTATTTTCTGTAACATAAAGTTAGAGCAGGATGCTTCCATGATACACAAAAGCCAGTTAAAAAAAAAAAAAAAAAAAAAAAAAAAACATTTTTTTTAAAGGGGTGAGTGGAAATAGTCACAGATGAAAAATGAAGTTCAAGGCCAGACATGGTGGCTCATGCCTGCAATTCCAGCATTTTGGAAGGCCAAGGTGGCAGGTTCACTTGAGCCCAGGAGTTCAAGACCAGCCTGGGAAACATGGTGAAACCTGGTCTCTACAAGAAATTAAAAAATTAGCCAGGTATGGTGCTGAGTGTCTGTGGTTCCAGCATCTGAGCTGGGAAGATCACGTGAGCCCAGGAGGTTGAGGCTGCAGTGAGCCATGATCATGCTACTGCACTCCAGCCTGAGGGGCAGAGTCTGGGGAGGTGCGGGGGGAGGAGGAAAAAGAAAAGAAAGAAGAAGTTCATTAATTGGCCTTGTATTTATCAGAAATGGTTCTAAACAACTCTTGACTGTTTCTAAAAGCAACAGCCACCCTCAAGAAGCCAAATTTGGCACCATGAAGAATAATGGCAATTCCAAAGTAAGAATTCTTAAAAACATTTTGAGCCATAGCTCAGAAAAAAATACCACTTTAAAACAACTTGGAAGGGGATGATATATTCAGATGTATTCGTTCTGAGATGTTTGGTGACTGGGATTTATTATCATTTTTCAGAGGTATCATATATTAATTTTATTTCCCTCAATAAAATCAAAATAACAGCACATTAATTCAAGCCATAAACAGGAATTAGTATAAATTAGTAGGAATTTGTGTAAATTTCTATTATATCCCAAAGGATCTATAAGGTTGGTATACTTCTAATGGTCAGCGGACAAACCCCATATACTCCAATATAATCTTATTAGCAAAGTACATTTAAAAATATATGGGCAAAGATAGCTATGCACAGTGGCTCATGCCTGTAATCGCAGCTTCTTCAGAGGCTGAGGCAGCCCAGGAGTTCACTGGAGCCCAGGAGTTCAAGTCTAGCCTGGGCAACATAGTAAGATGCTGTCTCTTAAAAAAAATAAAGATACAAAGGTAATCTCTTGTCTTGAGAAAATCTAAATGTCACAAAGTTTTATTTTTAAAACAAGTTATAGGCCAGGTGCGGCGGCTCACGCCTGTAATTCCAGCACTTTGGGAGGCCGAGGCGGGTGGATCACCTGAGGTCAGAGATTCGAGACCAGCCTAGCCAACATCATGAAACCCCATCTCTACTAAAAATACAAAAAAAAATTAGCTGGGCATGGTGGTGCATGTCTGTGGTCCCAGCTACTCGGGAGGCTGAGGCAGGGGAATACTTTGAACCGAGGAGACGGAGGTTGCAGCGAGCCAAGATCCCACCACTGTACTCCAGCCTGGGCGACAGAGAGAGACTCCATCTCAAAACAAAACAAACAAAAAAACAAGTTATAAAAAAAGTATTTATCTTAGTCAGCTTCAAATTTCCAATATGATGAATTCCGTGGAAAATTAAAGTACATAAGATACCAAGGATCACAGTTATAAAAATCTTGTATTCTCTGATGACACACTGCTATTCCTGTACTCTTATAAAGGCCAATTCCTGTCCCATTTAACTACTGAAGGTGTCCAGTTACTTTTTATTCTAGAATTTTCATATTCTGAAAATACATGGGTAATCAGTGGGGAATTAAAAATCGTGATTGAAAAACGATTGTAAGATGTTTGCACACTAACTTTATTCTTAGGAAAGCAGAAACTTTAGGACAAGCCAGGGTTAGTCTATTTTTTACCCCGGAATCTATCACAGTGCTTGGCATGTAACCGGTGCTTCACGAGTTTATGTGTGCTGTAGGAAGTAACATTTGAACTTCCGAGGGTTCTGCACAAGCCTGATATCATTTGGAATGTTTAAAATAAGCAGTCTTTCTTACAAACTTACATTATAGCAGCTAAACATTTACCTTTAAGATGGAAAGCCCTACAAGATGCGACATGTCTCTTCAAAGTGGCCTTTCTTGATAAAAGGTGTTATTTCTTAAATCTTCCTTGGATGCGCTTCAGATAAGTCTAACATAGCATTTTAAAGGCAAAGGCATTCTCATTATATGTTTCCATCTAGCTCCTGACATGAAAGCATTTTCTTTTTAGGTTCAGTATCGAATATTTCATGGGAAAAGAAAATTCCTAGAACTCTCGGTTTTGGTCAATGACTTCGTACCTCTCTTTGCGAGCTTTAAACACCGTACAGCAGAAAGAGCATGGGGTTTGGAGTCTGGGTTCTAGCCCAGCTCTGCCACTTACCAGCCATGTGACTTGGGGCAAGTTCAGTTTCCTCATCTGTAAAATGATACAGTATCTCATTTAATACTCACAATAAACCCTGTAATGTATGTCAAAGTGTCTAGCACAGCACCTGGCGTATGGCAGGCACTCTGCAAATGTTACTTCCCCTCCTCTTCCCCTCCTTAAGTTCTGAAAGACAACGTGCCAAATTATGCTTACACTGCACATTAGTTAAAAGGAATATAACATCCAGAAATATATTACCCCCTGGCACCCTGGAATTTCCCTTCTAACAAACCCCAAGAATCAAAAGGTATGGCTCTTATTACTGTTAAAAAAAAATCTATTAAAAACTTCTAAACTTATATATTGTTACATCCCTTTAGAGAATACATGATTAAAGAGAATGTAAGATGTCCTTTTCAATGTATGCAATCACTTATAACAGAACCTCCAACGGCCAAAGACTCGTAAAAAGAAAACTGAAAAAAACCCGCAAGTCAGAAGAGGAAACAAAGACGCAAACAAGAAACCCTGCCAAGTGCCCAGGCTGGCAACTGCCAAAGCGAAACGGATTCTCAACACCCCAAATGATGGTGATTTTATTCAACTGGTTATTTATTAAGATATCTGTAGTCCTGAGCACACAGACTGAGTTAAAAAAAAAAAAAACATTTTTATATAGAGAGTTCCTGCTTTCCTATGCCATTTCACAGCACGGCACTAATCCCACATACACCTTCAAGTAAGCAGCAGAGGTTAAGTCAGACATCACACTTCTAAGTAGCGGGCTTCTATCCCTAACTCGGTAACTGCTGACATCACCATCACTGGGATGGTTCTCTTCCTCCCTACTACCACCTGCTCCTCCTACCCAGACCCTCCGTCTCTACGCCTGCTGTCCCACCTACCAAAAACGTTCCCTTCTCCGTGAAAATTAAATCCTACATGAGAGTGGCTATTTAAGCACTTTCAAATTTGCTACAATCACTATGACACAAAGACCACATAGAACAGACCCAGCAAAATCTTTTCAGCTTTATTGAGGTATGATTGAGAAAGTTGTATATACTCAAAGTGTACAATGTGATGCTTTCACATATGTATACTTTATGAAATTATTACCACAATCCAGCTAAGTTACATACAAGAGACCTCTTAAAGTTGTTTAGCATGTGCAAATCTATGAGTCAGTCTATATAAAAGATGGGAAATTATGAACACCGAAATTTAGTGTTCTACATAATAGCAAATATATGCTCTCGTCCTATGAGAGTAATAACAATCTATAAAAAATTCAATTTTAGGTTGGGCGTGGCGGCTCACACCAGTAATCCAGCACTTTTGGGAGGCTGAGGCAGGCAGACTGCTTGAGATCAGGAGTTCAAGACCAGCCTGACCAACATGGTGAAACCCTGTCTCTACTAAAAATACAAAATTAGCCGAGTGTGGTGGTGGGTGCTTGTAATCCCAGCTACTTGGGAGGCCGAGGCAGGAGAATCACTTGAACGCGGGAGGCAGAGGTTGCAGTGAGCCAAGATCGTGCCACTGCACTCCAGCCTGGGGAACAAGAGCAAAACTCTGTCTGAAAAAAACAAAGTTCCATTTTAACGACTTAAAATGATGTTAACCTCATTTTATGTGTTTTATAAGCAGTGTGTACTCACATGACACTGTATTTGTGTGTCAATGTCAGGATTCAGAGGAGTCACATGACATACTATGAACAGAACCCGAGGGTTCCGAAGACTCGAAGGGGTTCTCTACTTGCTAGCTTTGTAAACTTGGAAGTCCCTCACCCCGTCTGACCTGGGTGTAGATGGACGTGCATCAGTGAGAATGCCTGTAAACTGCCTTTTGTAGCATGTAAGCACGGTTTCCTAGCGAGGCCTACCTGATCCCTTCACCTGCTTCTATGTCACTCACAATCGGATCGTTTCTTTGACGGCATTTTCTACGTTTGTATTCATGTTTATTTGTAACATTAAGTGACTGTTTTATTTGAAGGTTTATATAAATGCAAAGTGTAATTATTTTGTTAGCATACAAATTAATGAATATATTTGCCTAATATATTCATATAGGCAAAGTAAAACAAATATCTCAAATTACATTTCATCGTACATTTTTCAAAAATTGTAGGAAAACAGCGTAAGAATAATTTCCAATTTCACCCTGCGGACTTGGTTTACTGAATCTTAAGGTAGACAAAAGACTTGTTATTTTCACTTCCAAAATGATTATAACTTGTTCAGCTACCAACTTCAAGAATATGTTACAACAGAAATGAAATTATTCTTTTATATAAAAATTTCTAAGTAAAAATCATTGCTAATAGCCTCCTTTCACAAAGATGATATATATCCTTATTCTCATGCATCAAATACTAAGATACTAGTTTTCCAAATTTGTTGGAAACTTCGTTTTTAATAATTCAGAAATCCAGCCAGAATACAACTTCAGACTCAAGAGTTTAAAAGATATGAAATTATGCTCCTAACAGAATCAGCTTATGAATAATACAAAAGGCAATTTCTAATAAAAATGTAAATTATGCCCCACAAAATCAATAATATAATCTCATAAACTATAATTATCTACTTTTTTTTTGAGATGGCGTCTCACTCTGTCAACCAACCTGGAGTCCAGTGGCATGATCTCGGCTCACTGCAACCTCCACCTTCTGGGTTCAAGCGACTCTCTTGCCTCAGCCTCCTGAGTAGCTGGGATTACAGGTGTGTGCCGCAACGCCTGGCTAATTTTTGTATTTTTAGTAAAGATGGGGTTTCACCATGTTGGCCAGGCTGGTCTCAAACTTCTGACCTCGTGATCCACCTGCCTCAGCCTCCCAAAGTGCTGGGATTACAAGTGTGAGTCACCATGGCCGGCCAGTCATTTACTTTTTATATTTCACTCCATGATCCTCTAAGTAAATGCTGCTAAAATCTTTTCCAGGCCAGCCATTAGTGCTAGGAGCCTGATTTCCATCTCGATCAGAGTTTTTCAAACTGTAAGCTGTAGACCATTAATGGGTCGTAATGTAAATTTCATGGGTCAAGGATAGCATTTTTTAAAAAAGGACAGAAAAGGAATTACGGGTACATCACATAAGGATAAGAGTTATGTTTGAAACTTGTTTTATATAAATGTAGGGTACACGCACACACGAGTCTGCTATGTCATGATGTAATGTGGGTCATGGTTGAAAAGTTTGCAAGCCACTAACCTAGATCAATCTACTTGGTCTGCCAATCCCACAGGTTTACCCTAGAACCGAGAGCCCAGAGGTCTGGTTCCTAAGTCTACCCTACTGCACATTCAAAAAAGTTCCTTAACCCTGTGCTCTTCTGGCTTTAAAAAATAAAGTAAAATGACGGCCGGGCGCGGTGGCTCAAGCCTGTAATCCCAGCACTTTGGGAGGCCGAGGCAGGTGGATCACGAGGTCAAGAGATCGAGACCATCCTGGTCAACATGGTGAAACCCCGTCTCTACCAAAAATACAAAAAATTAGCTGGGCATGGTGGCGCGTGCCTGTAATCCCAGCTACTCAGGAGGCTGAGGCAGGAGAATTGCCTGAACCCAGGAGGCAGAGGTTGCGGTGAGCCGAGATCGTGCCATTGCATTCCAGCCTGGGTAACAAGAGCGAAACTCCCTCTCATAATAATAAAAAAATAAATAAATAAAAATAAAATAAAATAAAGTAAAATGAAATCAAATTTAGTATTCATTTTTTCAGACAGCACTGTTTCTGTAAGAACTGGCCAGATTTTTAAAAACATGATTTCCAAAGGCAAAGTCAGGTCTTGTGAAAAAGTGCTCTATGTTGTTTGACATTTTAAAGTTTCAGCATTTTTACAAGTTTAAATTGACAAGGGAAAATAAATCATGGGTAGCATTACTGTGAACAAGACTCTTCAAGGATGTTATGTTCATTCTGTAAAAACAAACGTGAAAAATGTTCACTAAAAATATACAGTCTTTTCACAGCATTTTATTTAACTTTTGTTGAGTCTTATGCTTAGACAAGTCAAAGAGGGAATAGGAATGAAAGGCTTGGTAAAGAAAGATATAAACCAATAATTTTTAGAAAATGAATATATGTACAAAAATGCCTTTTGGTTCTAACAATCATATGACATGCAGTGGTTTTTTTTTTTTTTGAGATGGAGTTTCGCTCTTGTTACCCAGGCTGGAGTGCAATGACGCGATCTCGGCTCACCGCAACCTCCGCCTCCTGGGTTCAGGCAATTCTCCTGCCTCAGCCTCCTGAGTAGCTGGGATTACAGGCACGCGCCACCATGCCCAGCTAATTTTTTGTATTTTTAGTAGAGACGGGGTTTCACCATGTTGACCAGGATGGTCTCGATCTCTTGACCTCGTGATCCACCCGCCTCGGCCTCCCAAAGTGCTGGGATTACAGGCTTGAGCCACCGCACCCGACCTGACATGCAGTGTTTGAGATAATTTGAAGTTAATCTATATTTTATCAGAAATTTATCATTTGAGTTCTGCAATCTATTACATCTCTAGAACTTCACAAAGCTTCTTTGGGGAAAAAAACAACACAGTCTTAAAAACAATGTAATATAGGTTTTACTTGCTCAAGACAATCCAGTGTTCCTAAGCAGAAACAGGGCTGAGACCAGTAACTGCAAAGAGCTAAATTGCAGTAAAGCTGTTAAAACCACCCACTCTTTCTTAATTCAACTGCAAATTCAGTATTGGGTTACAAACACGACCACTGAATAAACAACGTTGCAAGCACACAAAGGTTATTAGTAACTAAGTCTTTCAAAATCACTGTTACTGAGAAAAGCAAACCGAGTGAAAAATTACCGATTACAAATTTAAATACCAGAGGCTGGGAGAACAAGACAAGCACTTCCCTGAATGAACACTAGAGAGCGCTCTGCATCGCAAGTTCATATAGATGGAGTAAAGAACCCACCAGCCTATACATACATAGTCCACTTCTCACCAGGCACGTGCAGGTACGGCCTCAGTAGGAGGCTCGATCTTACCACTAAGCTGGCCAGACAACTCCTGAGTTCTGT